TCTGAACTATTTCTGAACAACTGAACTCAGGCTAACGTTAGCTTGATGGCTGCCTTTGCACGAGCTCAGGGTGACGCTGTGATGAAATCTGACTTACACCTGTTGTCTCTCTTTATGGTCTAAAGTTTAGCTGCCAGCTCCACAAACAGGAACTTTACTGCTCGTTCGTTTGTGATGGAACCAACAGGAAAGAAGAGCTTTTCTCTGTCTGGGAACATCTGGAGCTGCTCTCTCCTGATAAGGTATAGCAATAATAGCTAGAGTAATACAAATAAATATGACCACACAGCATATCCCTTGTTTTCATGTGTTTCTTCTGTTTTCTGCTATTTTAAAGTGTCAATTGTGTTCAAAAGAACTTGTCTGGAATCATTATTTTCCTCTGTTCCCTCAGTTTGTTTCACATTTTATTTGCATTGTTTATGTTCCTTTAAAACACAATCTAATGAAGGTTTGAAAAAGAGGCAAAGATATTTCAGATGCAGATGAGACTTTATTGAAACTGAGAAAATCATCAGAACAAAGTGGTTCAGAGTCACTAAAGACCGTTTCAAACAGGTTGATTGATCTGCTCGATTGAAGGATCTGTGATCAGCGATAGTTTCAAATGTTAGCAGAGTAAAACCTCTGAGATCGCAGCGATTGAAAACATCTCATCATTTCTTCAAAGTGAAAAAACATAATTTACTAAACTGACTTAACATCAAAAATGAGGATTCTTTAGTTTCTCCTCAGTGATCGTGCTCAGCTAACTGGGCAGAGAAATGAAAAACCTTCAAATTCTTGTACAAGCATCAAATGTGACGTGTTCGTGACTGATGGAGCCCATTCAGGAAAAACGTTGCCTTCAAAAGGCCAAATTTTGACCATTTTTCAAGATGGCCGACACATATTTTAACATTAAAACCAAGCGAATCGCTCAACAACATCATGCGGTGGGGGGAAAATATGGGAGGTTTGTATATCGGATACGCCGGCCATCTTGGAAAGTTGTCATCAGTTTGAACATTGGTGTGGATAACGCTCTGTTATGAAAAATCTCCCTTTGGTGGACAAACAGGTCAGTTTTGGTGCTTTTGTGATAATATGAAGGATTCTTGTGCTGCTTGCAGTTACCTGCTCTACCTGCTGTGTTGCCATGGCGGCTGTCAGCGATACAAACACAGGTACAAGGCAGGTGCGACATGAGCATCACAGCTGCAGTCGTTGCCTGCGTTGAGGCTTTTGAAGATGACCTCCACGCCGACGGCCTCGTACAGATCCACGGCTTCTTTGGTGACGATCAGAGTGATGGCCTTGACAGCGTCGCCACTGCAGTCCTCTTTCTTGTACCACAGGAACACCGGTGCCCCAGTTCAGATCCATGTTCACTGGATGGTAGTGCTGGTTCTTAAGGCTTTGATACTCCACGTCATTGGTGGAGACCTGCAGATCTCTGAGGGTGCCCGCGCTCTGGGTGATGTGACAGTACCAGATGAAGACATGGGCCCCTCCTGCACCTCTGCTGGTGTTTCTGTCCAGTGGGATGTAGCCGTTCTCCAAGTAGTCGGCGTCTCCCTGGAAGGCGGCGGTGGCGGTGATGTCGCAGATGTACGTTGGCGCCTCTCTCTTCACCCACAGGAAGACCCAGTGTCCTCCGGCCTTCCAGATCAGATTGCAGGCCAGTCTCTCCCAGCCGAATTTAAACTTCTGGGCTTCGTTGTCCGTGGACACGTCCAGGTCCACAATGGGAATGTGGAACTTGGACGAGCCTTTGTAGAACCACAGGTAGATGCAGTTCCCTCCTGCTCCAGCGTTGAGGTTCTTGCACTGATCAGGCCTTTACTCATGTCATCAGTGAAGGAAAACTGAATCTTGCTGATGGCTCCACAGCTGTCGGTTTTGTACCAAAGTTAGATTTTCTTTCCTCTGGCTCCTGTGTTCAGATCCACGTCAGTTTTGATGAAGCCTTGTGCACGGAGCTGACTCTCATTGTTCTGATCCAGAAACACTTCCACGTCGGAGATGTACTGGGACATTTTGGCTTCCTGCATCAAATAAAGTAAAGGGATTTATGGGTAAACACACACTGATGGAAAGAGCTGTTCCCCTTCCCTTTAGTAACACATTACACATTATTACTTCACATTTCAAATACAACAGCTGACAGTTCACTTATTCAAGCTGAATCACAGCAACAGTAGCAGCAGTAGGGAACTTTATTTATAACGCAACTTCACCATATCCGTGTCAATAAAACGGCAGCGATGCATTTTGGACCAACTGGAAGCTGTTGTGTCGACACCATGCTTTACATCAACAATCACATGCTTCCATTTCTGTGCTTTATTCACATCCCAGAAATATTTCAGCTGCTCTGAATGGAACGCTTGAAACAAACCAACCTTCACATGTTGTGGAAAATATGAGGATAGTTGCACATCTGCAATCTAATGACATTGAAATATTCTGTCATTACGATGTCTAGATGTTGGAAACAGTTTTATATACACTGTAAAATCAATATTTTGTAAAAATAAAGAAAGAAAGAAAAAAAGTGAAAATGTGGCAGCAAGAGGAAAAAGATGTGAAATACTGTAATGTTGAAAACAGTAAGAACTGTGAAACCAGCAAAAATCTGAGACGAGGATATTTTCAGCTGATTCCAATAAACAGTAAAACAGGATCATTTCATGGCCACACTTAAAAGAACAAATTGGTACATGTGAAAAAACAGTTTTGATGTTGACATTATTGACAGTTTGAGTGTTTTTTTGTTTTTGTTGTTGTCGTTGATCTATAGTCAACACATTAATTAATCTCTTTTGCCTGTTTTTTTTTTTTAAACAGTTATCTTTAAGTGAACTTAAGTGTGCATCATTTATCTCTAGAATAAAGGCAGAAATCTATAAAACTACAATATTTTCAAAACTAGTGTAGTTTTCTGGTCACACATTATAAAGGATCAAATTACTATTTGTAAAAAGTCAGATTTTTTATGTTTACATTATTTACAGGTTTGACCTGTTGTTTTTTAAAAGGTAACAGGTAAACTAAAACTTTTTTCTTTCTGTGACTGTATCAGGGGGCTGCAGGGTGGCGCAGTTGGTTAGCACTGTTGCCTCGCAGCAACAAGGTCCCATGTCCCGGTGGGGGCACCGGAATCTTTCTGTGTGGAGTTTGCATGTTCTCCCCGTGCAGCGTGGGTTCTCTCCAGATTCTCCGGCTTCCTCCCACAAGGTCCAAAAACATGTTGAGGTTAATTGGTGATTCTAGATTGTCTGTAGGTGTGAGTGTG